GAACAGAGGAAAAGTCAGAGAAAAACATCCCTTGTATCACATGGGAGTATTAATCTCCCTTCATTAAATTCTATGGTAGCAAGTGAGTAAGTTGGAGCCTCTGACCAGGATCCTGAAGTCAGTCACCTACAAACGATAGAGGCATTCATTATTTTTCATTCAACAAACATTTATCGAACACGTGTTCTGCGCGAATCACGGGCTGAACAGTAAATGAGCTGGAGAAAGACCCATTTGTATGGAGCTAATATTTTAATTGGGGGAAGACAATAGCCAATGACAGAGCGAGGCAGTTGCAGAGCGAGATAAATGTTTTGAACCCAATGGGAAAGAAAAAGAAAAGAGACAAAGGGAGGGAGGGAGGCCAGTTCAAAGAGTGGTCGGGGAAGGTCTCTCTGAGGAAGGAACGTTTGATGTGAGGCAGTAAGAATGAAAGCAGCCAGCTAAGCCAAGAACCGGAGGACGAGCACCCCGGGCAGAAGAAATGGCAGGTGACAAGACCCCGAGGCTGGAAGGAGCCGTGTTTGCGACCAGGTGGAGAGGGACGGGGAGCGGTATGAGTGAAAAGTTAGTGCTGCAATTACTCTTAGAGTATAATGAGCCATCTCGGACCCAGTGACTTAAAATAACTATTTGATCACGTTTCCAGATTCTGTGGGTTAAGGGACCAGGCAGGGTTGGGCTGGGTGAGGCTTTTGCTCCTTGTGGCATCGACCGAGGCTGCCCTCTGGGACTCAGCTGGTGGCCAGCCTGGTCTGGGGGGATGCAAGAAAGCTTCCTTTACCTGGGCTGGTATCTGGGCTGGTGTGATGGTTAAGCTTTTGTGCCAGTTTGGGTGGGCTGCGGGCCCAGATAGTTGGTCAGATATTACCTGGATGTTTAGGTGAGGGTGTTTTTGGATGAGACTAACATTTAAATTGGTGACTTGGAGTAAAGCAGATTGCACTCCCCTCCCCCGTCCCCGAATGTGGGTGGGCCTCGTCCAATCAGTTGAAGGCCTTAACAGGACAAAGCCAGATCTTCCCCGAGCAAGAAGGAATTCTGCCAGCAGATGGCCTTTGGACTTGAACAGCAGCACTGGCTCTTCCCCGGGTACTCACTCTGCCAGCCTACCCTGTGGATTTGAGATTTGCCCGATGTACCCACACACCCTATGGATACTGTTTCTCCAGAGAACCCTCATAAAATGGAGAGGATTCGGAGATTAGGACAGTCAGTGGGGAGCCTGCGTGTGGCTTGGCTCCCTCCCACATGAGCTCCTCCCACCACGGGCTTCTTCCATGGAGACGCATGGCTCCAAGAGACAGTTTTCCCACAGACTAAGCAGCAGCCGCATTACTCTTGGTGACACGCACCTGGAAATCAGTACGACATCACCTGTGTCGTATTGTATTGATCACCGCAGGGATAAGGCTGCCCAGGTTCGAGGAGAGAGCGTGTAGACCCCACTTCTTTATGGCCAGAGTGGCACGGGATTATGTGTATAAACTGTGTTAGGGTGATCCTCAGTGGCTCTTGATTTCCCCTCAGGTTGTGATCTCATGGTTCATGAGATCGAGCCCCACATTGGGGCTGACAGTGCAGAGCCTGCTTGGGATTCTCTCTCTCT